TGTGGACTGAGTGGACTCTGACACCTTGGAGCTGGCCGAGCCTGTCTCTATATCCCCAGATGATGTGGTCTCAGCTCAGGGTGAGGGATCCCCAGGAGAAAGCTTGGGCAGTTTTCGGAACAGGTCCTCTGAAATGCTAAATCCCTTGGTATTCCAGTGCAACAGTCAACCGAGCAGACTGAGGATATAATCTCCGACTTGATTGGTTCGGAGGACACTGGTCTGATAGCCATTTTGTTCATACCTGCCCTATCAAAGACTATGAAGGACCCCTGGGAGACCCCTAATCACCTGCACCCAACATCACATCATCTTGAGGGAATGTATAAAGTCCAGGAGCAGGACATTTCCTTTTTGCTCCATCATTCTTGCCCGAACTCCATGATCGTACAGTTGACACAGGGCAGACAGCAGCGTGACCATACCACACTGATAGACAGGGAAGGTCAATGCCTTGACATGATGGCATTCTGTACCCTCTGCATTTTGGATTATGAAGCGGATAGGAGGAGGTACCAGGCCTTTCTACGGCAAAAGATGGAGGCTCTGGCAGCTTTTCTTTCAGACCAGCACATGGAACTCACCAAAGTCTTCCTAGCTGAGTGCTAGCAATTGTACAACAAATCACCACAGTGCACCACCACATCGACTGCGATTTGAGGGCCCTAGTTGGTGCAGTAGCCTTCCATCAACATGCATGGTTTCGGGTGACGAATCTTCCACAGGAGACACAGTTCTGTATAGAGTTGATGCCATTTGACAGAGAGGGCCTCTTTCATGCCCGAACTGATGAAAGGCTGGACACCATTCAAAAGGCGAAGGTGAAAGCTTGATGGATGGGAATTGACTTCCACCCATCCTGACAATGTAAGTGACCATGGAATTGTCACACCCCATATTATGCTCTGTCTGGTAGACGACAGCCTAGTAGCCAAGGCCACCAATATGCCAGCCACTCCCAGAGCCGCCCACACAGAAGGGACATTCTTAGACCTCGGCCACCTAAGAGACTCCCTGAAGGGGATAAGAGGCAGTGATGACGGGCTGTGCAAACCAGCCACCAGCATCAGCCATCTGCCAGCTCGGGGATCATTTGAGCCAGCATATACCCACCTGGGAATTTTGCACATCTGATCAGTGTGTATTTTCCATCATTAGGGATGGGTACAAAATCGAGTTTGAGACCCTAACACTTCGTAGATCAGTCCACATGGACAAACTGGTATGCTCAGTGTTAGTGATCAAATCCAACCCAAGAGTGTCGGTACAACAAATTCAGCAACTGCTCAGACACATGGGATCAATGGTGTCTAAGGTACAATTCGCTAGGCTGTGCATGCGACCTCTGCAGCTATGGTTCCTAAAGTCCTTCCATCCAGAATATGACTCTCTAAGAAAGCGACTCACTGTTCCGATCACAGTATGTGCCAGTTTAATATGGTGGACACGAGAAAGCCATCTGTCATAAGGGCTACCATTCCAACCGGGGGAAGCAACGGCCACCATTACCACAGAAATCTCACTCACGGGCTGGGGTGCCCATTCTGAGGGACTCCTGACCCAGGGAACATGGTCAGCACTGGAACGGAGGTGACACATCAACTTTCTAGAACTATTAGCAATTTTCAAAGGACTGATAGCTTTCCAAACCTTCCTTTCTGGCAACCACCTCCGCAGTTGTTTCAGACAACACCACAGCGGTGTTTTACATCAACAAACAGGGAGGAACAATATCAACTCTTGCAAGTCTCACCATCAGAATTTGGGACTGGTGCATTATCCACAGCATCACTCTCGTGGGTGTCCGTATGGCTGGCATGGACAATATCACAATGGATGTCCTAAGTCACTCAGCATATCAACCACACAAGTGGACACTCAACCAGCAAGTTCTTCAAGACATCTTCAGGACTTGGGGTTGGCTGTCAGATGACCTGTTCACTACAGAGCAGAATGTGTTGTGCAAAGATTACTGTTTGAGAGCAGGAATCAGGCAGGGATCAAAGGGGGATACCTTCTGCATATGATTGAATGGGACATTCTTTTATGCATTCCCACCCTTCCCCCTCATCATAAAAACCATCAGGAAGATGAGAGCAGACCACACTTGAGCCATCTTGGTCACCCCATGGTAGCTGAGACAATCATTGTTCCCATCAGTCCTACACCTGTCCAACATTGTCTACCAGATCTACCTTGGATACCAGACTTGCTGATTCAAAGTCATGGGAGCATTGTTCATCCCAAGATTCATACACTCTGCTTAACCGCCTGATTAATACTGTGACCATGCTTCCAAATGCATCACCAGCTTCCATTCTGACACCTCAGAATATTCACAATGAATACATGCTTAGTCCATCAAGCTGCTCAACCCCAATCCATACCATCCATGTCATCCTCAACTCTGCTACTCCATTCCATCTGTTTATCTTCATCTGGAATGCTCAGGACCATAGTACACGGGATTGAATGCTATCAAATCCAACAAGATCTACCTCCGTTCTGACTAGTTTAAGTTCTGTTTCATTGGAGCCGATGGACTCAAATCCAATGGGATTGAATCTGACAAGGAGCCAAGCCATAGATTACACTACCTCACTAAACAGACCCTGGCATTGAACAAATCCTCACAGCTTCCCTTAAACCTAGCACAAGAGGATCCTATACTGTCAAATGGGCTAAGTTTATACAATTTGCTACACTCCATTCATTTGATCCCTCTTTTGCATCGATTCTGAATATTCCACAATTCTTGCACTCACTGTATGTTTCTGGACTAAAACCCACTTGTCAGCGATCTCTGCATTCCACAGACCAATTGAGGGACACACAGTCTTCTCTCACCCCCTCTCCCATCGCTTCATGAAAGGACCGATGAATCTCCATCCCCCATCTTGTTCTGTAGTTCCTCACTGGAGTCTTTCCATAGTGTTACATGTGTTAACGAAGCCTCAGTTTGAGCCTCTTGCCAGTGTAGATCTCTGGCTGCTATCTTGAAAAGTCTCCTTCTTGGTGGCCATAACCTTGGCACAGTGAACTCTGCACATTACGAATGGATTCCCTGTACTTAACATTCCATAGAGACAAGGTTGTTTTACAAACTGATTCATCATTTCTACCCAAATTCCCTTCATGTTTCCACATTAATCAAGAGATAGTCTTACCAGCCTTCTTTCCTTCCCCTTCAACGAACATTGAGAAGGCTCTACACTCTCGACATTTACAGAGCACTTTCATTCTATCTATCCCAAACAGAGGACATTCGCAAAACAAACCGTCCAGTTTAGAGGAGACCCATTCAGGCCCCAGAGATTAGCCCATTGGATCGTAGAGACCATCAAGTTGGCACACAAACTTTCCTCCTTACAGTTAGCAGTCAATCCACAAGCACATACACTACAAGGGCTATATCAACTTCTACTGCACTTCATGTGGGACTTCCATTTGAGGAACTATGTAAAGCTGCAACCTGGTCTGCACCATCAACATTTATTATACATTATAAACTGGAGATTAGCGTGAGGAAGGATTGCTTTTATGGAAGGGCTGTTCTTTCTTCCATCCTACAATAACTGTGACATCAATAAGGTATCTCGCCATTGCAGCTACGATGCTATGGAAAGGAAAGGAAAGACATCCAATGCACTGTGTTTACTGGGCACTAGTATGTGTGTATAATGCACATATCTGTACTGCTGTTCATAATATCAATAATATTGTCTTTGGGATATGATAATGTGTATGGGTTGACAAACTGCTAGTAGCGTGAAACTCATGGTGACTATACTCCAATACAACACCTCCCACCACCATGGAGGAATGCTTGCCAGTCATCCGTATGTATGATGCACAGAGACCACAATGAAGAAATGCAGGTTGCATAGCTGTAACTGTAGTTCTTCGAGTGGTCATCTGTGCATTCACACAACCCACCCACTGGCCCCACATTGGTGTCGGAGATTATAGATACATAAGACATGACAACAATGTGGTTCCATTATTGAGATTTATTACAATATTAGATATATATGCGACAATAAAATGATTCAGTAAACTAATTGCAAAAGTTGGTCTTGAGTGGAACTGACAAAATGGCAGGAACCCATCTTTTATATACATCTGTTCCAAGCTGGGCTATCTGGATGCAGTTATATATACTCTTCAGGCATCTTGCAAAGAATCCATGTCAGACATATGAGGCCATTTAGAAAGCTTTCGCCAGATGGTGCAGAAGAAAAAAAGATTGATACCTGCAGTTTGGGTATCAAAGCACTTATCTTCCTCCAAGAAGGCCCCTGTTTAGGCCTTATGCAGGCAAACATCAACCCCCTCTTTAGTTCTGTCAAAATGAAATTGCCTTCCATTACACAAACCCTCACCTTGAAAGATTCCTCTAGGGAGCCCTACTGATAAGTCTTCACCCAATTCACAGATTCTGATTGTGGAGCATACCCCATTGCTGGATGTCTTCCTCACACTGACCTAGAAAATGGAACATTGATACTCACCAAGAAGTTGCCTGGTGGGTTGGCATGAGGAAAGCATCTGAGTTTCAACATTATTTTTCATGTAGTTTATACACAGAGCAACTGAAGCACCTTTAAGCTGTGCCTTTAAGCTGTTCCTTCTCTTGTAGGGCCTAGCAGACTATACTTTCAGATGTGATACTGTCTGCATGATCTTGTGATCCTTCTTAGGACTCCACCTAGGAGAGTTTTGGCTCTCCTCTGTTTCTGACCTATAGCCACATTTAGAACTGGCAAACAGAAGTCTGGGACCTTAAAATCTGTTACTTGGTCCCTGCTATTCCCTGGGTGATAAGAGAAATTAATTCATCAAGAGATGCCTTCTGTGCACCAGGCCAGAAGGAAATTTGTTGGTAAGTATTGAAGTTCCATTCTGACTAAATTCTGACGTTCAGTTTAATATCCTCATTTTGTTCATTGCAGAAGAATGATACAATTTGACCACTACCTCTTCTCTTTACACTTGAACAGCTTCCAGGTGGCCCACTGATTTTCAACACTCTCCAGCAGCAACAGCAGCTCTCCCAATTTTCATCACAACAGCCCTTAACTTCAAATCTTCAGCCACAGGGAGATCAGGTAGGCATACAAATACAGTAGAAATAAAGGGTCAGTGGGGTTATACACATACTTTTGTGACCTACCTTGCCAATTTTCTGTAGGATAGGGTAGGCAGGAACAAAATTAACTAGTAAGCTGCCACCACTCCCAGGTCTTTCACTGCAGCTCGACAATAGGAAGCCTCAAGCCTTTAGAATATAATTTGGGTAGCTGAAATAAGGGTGCAAGCAGCCATTCTCTATTTCATACTCACTAACCTGAAATAATATGCAGTAACAGGACAAAGCAGCTGCGAGGCACTGAATGTAGCATTGGGCTTATCCAGAAGAAGCACAAGTTTAAGAGGCTTAAAGGAATTTTTATCAAGGGAATTTATGAGGAAATGGGGAAAGGACAAAAGAGGGAAGAAAAAGTGAACAAAACAGGCAAAACATGATACAGGGTGTTTAATGTGACACCTCAAGCAAATCAGTATAAACCTAATTAACTTATAAATTACTGGAGCGATATGTCCCTTAAGGTCTATGTTCCAGCCAGGGTCCACAGGCCAGAGCCTACAGTCTGGATGGCATCAATGAAGCAATGCAAAAGACTATTCCCTCCTTGTCTTGTTTTGTCCCCCACTTCCTCCATGGACATCCTCAACAGTTTTTCTTTACCCAGTCAAGACTTAATCCACTCTCTCACCATCTTAAGGAAGGCCCATCTTCCTCAAGGGAGGCCACAAGTTTGAACAATAAAGCTGAAAACATTGTGACCTGGAATGCCAGTTGACTAGCCCTGATAACTGTGTGGTAAATCCTCAAGGCCTTCACAAGGCCAAGGCATGTGGTGACAGCATATAAAGGTTTTAAATAAATAAATAAATTCAGTTCTCAGCTAAGGCCCGAAGAAGGAGAATTAATTCACAGATCTGTCAGTCCATGTAGATCGTGCCCCAGTGTATCTTCAGAGTTGCTTTTGTTCATGATAACTGCACACGTTATAGATTTGAAATAACAGCTGAAGCCAAAATCAAAGGACTTAACCTCAGAAGAAAGCTGTGCTAACACAGGATGTTTTCTTGTATGGTCTAATACTATTGGTTGGCCCTTCCTTATTGTGAGGGGCAGTGGCTTTCAGAAAGATATCTTTTTTCAGCCCTGAGATCTTTCATTCATTTCTGTAATAGCCAAAGCTCTCTAGGCAGTTCACAAAAATTACAAATAAAGATGCAACAGATTAACGTATTTCTTTAAGTGAACATGTCCAGTGCTGAACCTAGGACCTTCTTTATGCAAAGCATGCATTTTGCCCACGCTCAGACATTTTGAACATATGAAGCTGTCCTACTAGGTAAGATGGCCATTAATCTATCTAACCCGGTTTTAGCCAAAGCTAAGTTTGGATGTTAGCCAAAGCTTGAATCTGAGCCCCTCTGCATAGCTCTGCTATTGAGCTAATGTATTCTATTAAAGTTTTGTGGGTTTTGCATGGTTGAAGCTGCTCTAGTTTCCCCACCCAACACAAATTTTAACTTCAACTTAGCTTTGTGGCTGCACCCATTAACACCCAACCTTTATGACTAACCTGTGTGCCACAGTTTAAGGGGTTTTTTCCTAATAAAGAGAGAATCATTATCCTTATATTGTGAAGAACAGAATAGATGTGACATGATGTATCTCCCTATAAAATCAAATTATGCATAATGATGCAAAACCCTCCTTACACATTGGGGACCATGCCTAATTTACACCTTTCCCTCATTTCCATTGATCACAAAGGAGGTAATCAAGAGATGGGAAGGCAGGACACTCAGTATTCAAAAATCCCATCATTTGCACAATGATGACCAAAATATCCCATGGAATTGATTAAGTGTGAATTCCAAGATGCATGGAAGGGTCACACTTTGTTAGTGTGAAAACATAATGATTCCTTTGGGAGACAGTGACTAGCAACCTGTATTCTCAAATCCACTACAATCTGCTGCAGATTCCAGAGTTGGTTGTGTCTTACGTAGATGGTAGCATGTGTCTCACTCTCCCTTTATGGGTGTATATACTTTTGAAAAGCGATCCTATGGATGTGGCGTAATTCAGGGCTCCTCAAACTTTTTCAACAGGGGGCCAGTTGAAAGGTGGTGGCAGTGGGCGTGGGCCAGTGAGGCGGGGGTGCCCACAGGTGCGGGCCAGTGAGGCGGCGGTGGGTTCGCACTCAGCGGCAGACAGGCATGCACGTGGTGGCAGGCGCGTGCAGTGGTGGCTTGCTCACTTGGAGATCTCCCAGCAAGTCCAAAACCATCTCCGAGCGAGTGAGGCTGGCAGTGGCAGTGGATTGCTCGCTCAGAGATCTCCAAGTGAGCAAGCCAAAGGCCAGCAGAGCAGCCCTGGTAGTGGCAGGATTCTGACCCAGTCCACTGCAGCTGCCAGGGCTCTCATGAGTCCCACCTGGGGAGCCCTGGGGAAGAACTATGTAAGAACCAGCTCTTCCCCTCAGAAGTTGCCTTGGCAACTAAGGTCTTCCAGTGTTGATGAAGCTCTCCTGATCTACTGGACCCGGAACTCTGCTCCTGTTCCTGCCTGCACTTCTGGACCCTGCCTGCACCACCTCCTGCCCTGACCCACAAGGTACAGGCTTTCCCTGACTTGACTTGCCTTCCTTGGTTCTCTGACCCTCGGCCTGCTTTTGATAATATTACCTTCTGTACGGACTTGACTTGTATCTTGACTTTCCACTCAGACCTTTTGGAATGTGTACTGGACTTGCTCTTGCCATGCCCTGTCTGCCTGAGTCCCAGTGCCTTCACCTGCTAGTTAGCCACCCCCGCCCGGGACGCTGACATCTGGCTAGTGGTTCAAATGATCTGGTGGTTTTTAAAGCTTCCTCAGACAGCCATTTTGCTTTCTTGCATTCCTTTGGGATGGTTTTAGTTGCTACCTCTTGTACAATGTTGCGAACCTCCGTTCATAGTTCTTCAGGCACTCTGTCTATCAGATCTAATTCCTTAAATCTATTTGTCACTTCCACTGTATATTCATCAGGAATATGATTTAGGTCATATCTGAGTGGCTTAGTGCTTTTCCTTACTTTCTTCAATTTAAGCTTGAATTTTGCAACAAGAAGCTCATGATCTGAGCCACAATCAGCTCCTGGTCTTGTTTTTACTGACTGTATAGAGCTTCTCCATCTTTGGCTGCAGAGCACATAGTCAATCTGATTTCTGAGTTGACCTTCTGGTGATGTCCATGTGTAGATTTGTCTCTTACTTATTTAATTTATATATTTAAAACTTTTCTAAACCATTCCGTCACAAACGTCTCTGGATGGTTTACGACAGCCCCTTTGGGCTTTTGAGAAAGAGTGTTTGCTATGACCAGCGTGTTCGCTTGACAGAATTCTGCCAGCTTTTGCCCTGGTTCATTTTGTACTCCAAGGTCAAACTTGCCTGTTATTCCAGTTATCTTTTGGTTTCCTACCTTAACATTCCAATCCCCCATGATGATAAGGACATAGTTTTTTGGTGTTATTTCCAGAAGGTATTGTAGCCTTCATGGAACCGGTCAACGTCAGCCTCTTTGGCATCAGTGGTTGGGGCATAGAATTGGACCACTGTGATGTTGAATGGTTTTCCTTGGATTCAAACTGTGATCATTCTGTCATTTTGGAGAGTGTATCCCAGTACAGCTTTTCCTGCTCTTTTCTTGACTATGAAGGCTACTCCATTCGTTCTGAGGGATTCTTCCCCACGGTAGTATACCTGATGGTCATCTGAATTCAATTCACCCATTCCTGTCCATTTTAGTTCACTGATTCCTAAGATGTCAATGTTCAGTCTTGTCATCTCTTGTTTGACCACGTCCTGCTTACCTTGATTCATAGATCTTACATTCCAGGTTCCTATGCAGTATTGTTGTTTATCGCATCAGACTTTCCTTTCATCACCAGATGCATCCACAACTAAGTGTCATTTCAGCTTTGATCCAGTCACTTCATTCTTTCTGGCACTACTAGTACTAGCCCTCTGCTCTTCCCCAGTAGCACATTGGACACCTTCTGACCTTCGGGGCTCATCTTCTGGCATCGTATCTTGTAGCCTTTTGGTACTGACTACAGAAGAAGTACAGACTTTACTGTTAAAAATGAAGAAATTGAAATTATTAAAGGTTTTACATACCTTGACTCAGTGATCAGCTCAGATGGAGGCTGTAGCCTAGAAATTCGAAGAAGACTGAGATTTGGAAGGGCAGCGATGGAGGATCTAGAAAAGATAATCAAGTGTAAGGATGTTTCACTGGAGACCAAGGCCAAGATTGTCCACACCACTGTATTTCAAATCAGAATGTACCTGGATGTGAAAATTGGACAGTGAAGAAGACTGACAGGAAAAATGATGTATTCAAAACATGGTGCTGCAAGAGGGCTTTGCAAATACCCTGGACTGACAGAAAGATGAACTAGTGGTCCCTAGATCAAATCAATCAAACACTTTGCTTAGAAGCCAGAATGACAAAATAGGGTGTCATACTTCAGACGCATCATGAGAAGGCAAAATAATCATGCTAGAGAAAATCAAAAGAAGAAGAAGAAAAGGAAGACTAAATATGAGATGGACTCACTCCATCAAGGAAGTCACAGCCTTCAAATTGCAAGAGTTGAGCAGGGTTGTCACATATAGGACATTTTGGAGGGCTTTCATTCATATGGTCTCTGTAAGTCAGAAACAACTTGTCAGCACACAGGAGCAACAATTTCTATTCAGCTATTTTAAGAAGCCTGCATTAACCAAATAAAATTTATAATATTTAGGGTAACTTCTGTCCCCAGATGAAAATGCCATAGGAAAGAAAAATGCTGCCTTTGTTCTGGTAAAAAAGTTCTCTAGGCAGTATCAATATGCATAAGAATGGCTTTCAGCTAGCAGTCAGTACATAAAATATCAGGTTTAATTCTTCCTGAGGCTATGCAAAACAAGACAATCTGCATAACAGTGCTTGGCCCAGTGACCTTTTCCCTGCATAACAATATGTAGCACTGCAAATCCTGGTTCACTCAAACAATGAGATTATTGTTCAGATGACTTGAAACTATGATTTGAAGTGTGTTAGAAAACTGAGGAATCATGGTTTAAAGATTAACTATATTCTTAAAAGTACCTTTGTACCTAAAGGCATTCTTAAAAGCTTTAAGATGGGGATAGGTCTGTGCTGGTTAGTTCTGCGTTTGATGTCATGCATGCCCCATAGCTCTGGGAGGAGAATGCTTCCTCCTTGCAGATGTTCACAGTGTATGCAAAGCTATATGGGGGCAGAGTTAAGTAACGTTAGGGTAGAGCCACCTAGTTTGGCTCCAGCACGACTTACATTTTGAAGTAAGTACTTTTAAGGACCTCTGAATAGAGGTAATGGTTTTCCTCAGTAAAAGATAATATTAAGTTATTGGAGGAAGTGGAGAAAATTATTGGAGAGGGATGGGAAAGCAATACTCATTGCAGAGGCTGACTGCTGAGTATTTGTAAGTCATGGTTTGCAAGAAGCCACAGTTAACTTTCCACTAGACCGGGGATGGACCAGTCAATGGCTGCAAGAGGACATTGAAAAGAAAGCTCCCAATGCCTCATTAAAGATAACAAGCAAAATCCAGAGATAGCAGACAATTATATAAGGAGAAGGAGACTGCTGCTGGAGAGTTTAATAAGAAGGTATTGTTTTTTGGACTGTAAATAAATTCTGTTTATAAACTGATCGGAAAAGCCTCAGTGCAGGGAGTGTGATTGTGTTTGACTAAGACAGAGATTATGCTGAAAACAATTGGGAAAAATGTTTTGAACCTTTAGGCTAATTAAAGAGACTGGTTTACAACTGTAAAATCTTCGCAGTTAAATTTAATTGGATTCAGCACAGTTCCAGTAGAAGACGATATAGTAAACACTACTAACCGGACCAATGTGTGATCTATGAGAACATGAGAACTTCATTTTCAATTGATTGAAGTGTTCAGTGGAAATTAATTTTAAAATAAGTAAAATATAAAGATTTATATGGATAATTGAAATGCTATAAACAAAGAAGATTGTTTACATTCTTAAATATCATCTAACAAATGTTATGTCTGGAGAAAAGGTAAACTTTTTTAAAAAAGGTATTGATAGCGCCCTCTCCTGTATGAAGGATGTATAATGGTTCTAACTCAGTGGAATAAAACTCATTAGCTGGATAAGGATACAGAGCTCCATCTGCTGGAAGAATATTGAATGGATTTTTAATCTGGTGGAATAAAGTTTAAAGAATAAGCAATTTAATTAGATTTTGAATTGTGGCTGGTGGTTTCTATACTGTTGATACAAAGACAACCACAACAAAAAATTTACTCTGGCTGGCCACATGAAATGGGAAGACCATTGAATCAGACCCTATCTAGGGCTTCTTCTAGATTAACACATACAGAGAGTGAAGAAAAGATAGAGGGAGCCTCAGAAGTCATGGCAGAAGACAAAACCCTTCGAGGATTTAAGAAGATCTTGGATGCAACTATGTAGGAATGGAAAAAAGACAATTTTCAGGAAATGAAGCAGATGAGAGAGCAGCTGAAAGAGGATATTAAACAGATAAAAATTGAAAATGGAAATGCCTTTACAAAATTGATGAATCAATTGAAGGTCCTGGAGAAACTATTTGAAGAAACAGAGGTATTGGCTAAAGCTAATAAATTGGATATAGTTGTCCAATCAGAAAGAATAAAGGAGTTGGAGAAGAAAGTGATTTGGAGGATAGAGATCACAGAAGGAATTTATGATTAAAAAATATATCAGAAGAATGATCATCAACAGAAGAAAAGCAAGTCAGGAGTGATGAGCTTGCATGGTTTAATGAACTCATGCCAGATGAAAAATGGAAAGAAGACTATATAGAGACAATACATGGTGTGGGCTCCCAATGCCAAGCCAGATTAACTCCAAGAGATGTATTGATAAGATTTTCTAAGTATTATAAGAAGGAGTGGCTGATTAGAAGGTTGAGAGAAAACACGGGTCAGCTAAAGTTTAAAGAGGCACCCATTCAGGTATTTCAAGATCTGTGCTTCCAGACTATTTTATTCAGGCATTTGTTGCAAGCGTTCAAGATTATTTGGTTCAAGAATAATATTAAATATGTTTGGGGATATCCAATGTATGTGAGATTTTGGCATAATGGAAAATATCATAGAATTGAGTCACTGGAACAAGGTTTACAACTGGCACGTGATTCGGGCCTGAGAGATGAAGAGCACTGCAAGGAAATTGAGAAGATGGATGATGGAGCAGTTATTAGAGGTTCTTCAATCCTAGCTCTCAAAAATGGAGGAACGGCTCTTGCAGCAATTCAAAACCTTCTCCAGGATGAAAAAGAGAAGGGGCAAGGGGCAGTGGGAGGGTCTCCCTCTCCAATTTAGAATATTAGGAGGCAGAAGGCAACTTATATTCTACTTTATGTTTGGGGGGAGATAAGCATGAGTTCATAAGTAAGATAAAAGAAGTTATAATTGGGTAGAATATTAACTCTGAATAAGCTAAATATATTAGAGGAATTGTGAATATGCAAAGTAAATGGGGAAAGGTAGTATTGAGAATTCAAAGAACTTTAAAAAATGAAACTGTCTAGAGGACACGTTAAGATAATGTGGGTATAGAGGCAATGGGTAGTGGATATTTGAAGTTGGGTGGGCCGGCGGTTTCTCCCCGCAACCTTCTGCAAGCGTGGCGAGCGTGCCTAGAATGGTAATGTTCTGGGGGGAAAGTAGTTTTCTATGTAAGGGTGGAGGTTTTGGAGGTAGGGTTAAGGTAATTTTTTCATTGTTTGATTCTTTTAAGCTTTATTGTTTAAGTATATTTGTGGGTGTGCACAAAGGACCAACAAGGATATGTGTTTTAAGTTAGATATGGTTAGAATTGTAAGAGTATTATCTTTGAATGTTAAAGGCTTGGGGAATGTAACTAAAAGGAAAAAAAATAAGCTATAATAAATAAAGATAAAGCAGATATTGTATTTTTGCAAGAGATACATCAAAGAAAAGAGGGGGTTACTGAATTAAAGGTATCATGGTCAAACATTTATGAGAAAGCATCTGGGTGTTCTTAGTCAAGGATTGTGACAATTATATCTAAAAAAGCTGAATTTGAAATAAAAAAGATGAAAAGGGTAGATTTTTGATAATACAGGGAGAGTTGAGAATTATATGTTAATTAATGTTTATTCATCAAATGAAAATCAGATGGTTTTTTCAAAAAAAGCATTTAAAGAATTGGAAGAAATAAGAAAGGGATTTGTATAGTAATGGATAAAGGGAAAGATAAATCAAACCCTAGTAAAGAGAAAAAAATATATAGTACTATGTTGACTAAAATGGTTTAAAAAAACCTATTTGAAAGATGTATGGAGAGTTAAAGGGCAATGAAGAAGGTATACATTTTACGCTTTGGTTCATAAGACTTATTTGAGGATAGATTATATCCTATAAAAAAAAAAGCAGGGCTTTTTTTTTGTCATAGAATGCACCGGAACGGTGTTCCGGCACCTTTTTTTCCAATGGATTTTACCAAGTGATTTTGGATCGCCTGTCGGCGTAGCAGGTCAGCAGCAAACATCATTAACATAGTGCCTGCGGGCTGCTTTTGTGTCTGCGCCACCTACTCAGCTTGGGATTGGTGTGTTTGGTCGCACACTGAGTGCTTACTGCTGGCGGCGATATTTGTATCTAATTATTTGTTATCAAGTGTGTGTGATACAGATATAGGTTTGATAATAGTGACAGATCACACTGTAGTAAATATGAATCTTAAAATTAAATGTGATTATTAAGAAGTTAAAAGATGGAAATTAGATGTAAATATCTTGCAATATAAAGATATAACAGATAGAATGGAAAAAATTAAGACAGATGTGGGAGATAATGGATGGAGAAGGTAGTCAAGAAAGCTTGATTTGGGACACAAGGTGGTTGCAAGAAGGCTAGATATTAAAGAAGCATATAATTTAAGAAGACAAATAATCAAATGCGTGGAAATTTTAGAAGGACAAATAAAAGATTGGAGAAAAAGTATAAACAGGGATATACATATTTTAACAGTAATTCAAGCTAAAAGAGTTGCAAAATATTGAAACTGAAAAAATACAGAGGAATTTAATATATTTAAAAAAAGAATATTTCAAATTTAGTAGTAAGAACTCAAGAATACTAGCGAGAGATACATAACAAAAGAAAGCTAAAAATGTAATTGGGTTAAAGATGAGAGATGCAAACAGTGTAATTTAACAAAAGATAAATTAGGAATATTTTCCAGATTTTTTTCTAAGTTGTATGTAAGTGGCAAGGTGTTGTTGCATAAAATTGGATCATATATAGAGAAGAATGTTGGGAAATTACAACAAATGGATAGGGAGTTGATGGAACACTTAGTTAAAAAGGAGTAAATAGAAGATAGTATTGATGAGTTAAAAGTAGGCAAAACACCTGGTCCAGGTAATTATAAAACTTTTAAGAAGATGCTGATTCAAAAATTAAGATCTTTATTGAATAGTATATTGGAAGAATTATATAGTATTGGAAATACTCTTAAATAGTTTTAATCCCAAAACCCAATAAGGATTTGACAGATCCTAGAGCTTATAGACATATATCCCTGATTAATCAGGATGCAAAATTTTTTACAATTTTTAATATTTGCAAAGAGGATGAGTATTTTTATTGGTAGTTACGTTAATGTGGATCAAAGTGGTTTTATAATAGGTAGGTAGATGGCAGAGTTGACTAGAAGAGTATTCAATATAACTGAATATATACACAGGAAAAATTTAAAAGCTGGCATAATTGCATTAGATATTTTTAAAGTCTTTGATTGTGTGGAATGGCCAACAATAACGATATTAATAGAACTAATGGGATCGGTTCAAGATTTAGAAATATAATATATCAGTTATATTCAAGAAACTTTGCAACAGTAATAGTAAACGATGGTGTAGAAGATCAAATATTCCTAGGCCAAGGTACTAGATAGGGTTGCCCTAGCTCTCCAATTCTGTTTGCTTTAGTTATAGAACTCCTAGCAAATAGTATCAGGAATAATAATTTAATAGAAGATATAGGATTTGAGAATAACATTAAGATTACCTTATTGGTGCATGATACATTCTTAATAAAGGACCCAATTAAGGTTATGGATCAGATTAAAATACATTTAAGCAAATTTGGGAAAATAACGTGTTTACAAGTAAATTGGGACAAATCAGAGACGATGTTATTTCTAATAAAATGGAAAAGGATTAGATTAAGAGCAAGTAAGAAGTTAAGATTTGTAATAGTATTAGATATTTAGGAGTAAATATTACAAAAATTGCAATGTTTAAAAGAGAATTTTAACAAGTTTAAATATGAAGTGAAAGAGAAGATGAATGATTTTAAGAAGATTGGTCTGTTGTGGTTTGGTAGAATAGCAGCATTCAAAATGAAGATTTTACCTAAGATTAAAATCTTGCTTATGATGTTACCAATCAAGTTAACAGAGAAAGATTTGAAAGAATGGCAAAGTACGATAAATAAATTTTATAACTGGGATAAAAAGGCAAGAATTAATAAAAAAGATGGTATATGCCCCAGAGAACAGGGGGTTTAGGCATTCTTAATGTGAAATTTTATTATATAGCTAATCAACTGAGGCATATGCCAGATATTATATTGCAACCAGATAAGATAATATGGGGTAAATTAGAATATCAAGATGTTGAGTGATGACCTATAAAGCCCTAAACGGCTTGGGTCCTGGTTACCTGAAGGAGCGCTTACATCCATATATGCCCAGCCGCCCCCTGAGATCGGCGGGAGAGGCCCTTCTCCGGGAACCCTACGTGAAAGAAATTAGGAGGGTGGGTACTCGGAGGAGGGCTTTCTCTGCGGTGGCGCCTAAGTTATGGAATGCGCTCCCCAGAGAGGTCCGCCTGGCGCCG